CCTGGGGGTGGGGTGGGGTGGGGAGGGGGGATGGCCCAGCCCCTCTGCAATGTACCTGGGCTTGGCTTCAATAAGGTATGCTGAAGTTACAGACGTGGAGACACTGCTTTTGAAAGAAGGGTTCATTATTCACAGTTCCCAAGCACAGGGCCGATGCCACCTCATGCAGGGCCGTGGGAGCAAGCACCAGGGTCCCTGAGGAAGCGAAAGGAGGGAGGGGGAAACCAAGGCCCGGAGCCTTTATTTTGGTTTCTGCATCAGGAGTGGGCAAGGCAGGGAGACAAGCTTGAACAAGTTTAGGACTGCATAGTTTGAATGATTTCAGGCCAGCTCTGGGCTGTAGGGACCATCTAGCTGTCTGGCACCTGACCTTCGGGGGACTTAGGGAGGGAGGAATATTGGCTTATGTGTGACAGTTGGATAAAGGAGGTCACTGGGGGTGTGGGCTCTGGTTGGTTTGTGTGTAGCAGGCATGCTCTCAGGCAAGTTGTTTACTATGACCAGACTCAGCCAGCCCTGGGAGGGGCAGTCTCTGCAGGATCAGTAAGGACCCCAGATGCCAAAGCGTCGTAAAATACAGAAAATAAAAAGCGTAATTAATAAACCTGCCCTGTGGGTCCTCAGCTCGGAGATCAGAGTGGGCTGGATTTCAGTAGCAGTACGTGGTAGCCTTGCCCCTGGATTTCTCGGGGCTGCAGAGGACATGAGTCTTTAGAAGAGATGCAGCGGCGCCTGGGTGGCTCAGTCGGTTAAGTGTCTGCCTTCAGCTCAGATCACGATCCTAGGGTCCTACCATTCAGTCACGTTGATTTTCATTATTGTTTTGAAACTGTGATCCTGAGACTGTCTGTGTCCCAAGATTGAGGCCCTGGGACAGGGCAGAGAGGAGCACCCCCACCAATTAAACATTAAAGGAACGTAGGAGACAGAAACCAAGGTTGTACTTTTTGATGGCATCATGAATGGTGTGTATTTAACACGTGTTGCGTTTGTGGGGCACTGAGCCCAGAGCTTGGCACGTGGAGTGCTTGACAAACATTCGGCTGTTACTATAATCAGATCCTAAATGTGATGAAATAGAAAAATCCTTCATTTCGTCCCCCCGTCGGTTTTGTGAGGTACACTTCCTTCTTCCCCTTCTCGCCTCTAGCAGCACTGAGTTGCTGGCCCGGGAGCCGGTCCCATTGGTGGCCTGAGTGCTGACCAGCTTCACCTCCCCTGTCCATCTTGTCTGGCGGTGGAGGGCACATGACAGTGTCCTTCCTAACTACCTGACTTGGGGTAAGATCAATGGTTCCAACTCTACTTAAGATTTTGTGCTGTCTCATCACAGTCCAGGAGGATAGTATTTATGGAAAGGCCTGAAGTCATCAACAGCTTGGGGGCAGTGCAACCCAGAAGTCAATTTAAAAAAGGAAACCTTGCAGATTCAAGAACAAGATAATTGTGTTATCGTGCGACCCACTCACCTTACCTGAGAGGGAGTTGAAAATCATCCTGACTGACAAGATGATGCATTTTTCTTTCCTCCCGAGTAAAACAAGCAGGTTTAAGAACCTGACCTCATGCTTTACCGAACGTAGGAGGCTCTAACCGGCATTATAGAGACTCATCTGAGATTGACTTTCCACAGCACCTTATGGTCCTGTGTTAGGCGAGCAATACATGTTCTTTTGAACACGCCTTCTGTTGTGAACAGCTCCTAAAAAAGAAAGTTAGATCAGTAAGTTAGATCCTCTGCAGTTGCCAAGGGCTCTGTGTGAAGGGATCAGGGTACACCCTCGCTTGTTCTTCCCAAGATACTCAGTGCTGGGCACGGTCTCTGCCCCCAGGAGGCAAGAAGTCCTAACTGTGGTACAAAATGTTGAGTCCTTGGCTCTGTGCTGGGACCAAATGCCCAGGAGCACCGTCGAGGGTCACTGAGGATTCTTTGGCCTGAGGCAATGGAAGAAAGTCAGATCCCAGGTCTGGTGCCCTTGTGATCCCTCCCTGAGTCTCCATGGATCAGAACTCTGGTTCTCAGACCCAAGACCTGATGTCTCCATGGATGTCTCCAAGACTGAAGTGGCCTTGATGAACCGGGTAACCTCTCTGTGCAGCAGTGAATGTTTCTGAAACATGAGTGTGATAATGGTCTGTACCTCAGAGGGCTACTGCGGAAATTCAAGGAGATAATCTATGTAACAGGCTTCTCACCACAGCTGATAATAGGAACCACAGTCTCCTGTTGAATGCTTACAGTGAGCAGGGTCCTGCCGAGCACTTGATATATCTGTTAACTCCTGTAACTCTCCCGATGACCAGTGAACAGGCATTAGTGTTATCCCCATTTTACAGAAAGGAAGACTGAACATAAGCAGTTAGGTTGCCCAAGGCCACAGAGAATGGGGGATAGAGGCAGGATTCAAAACCAGACGGCTGTGGGATTTGGGATTTTATAGGAACCAAGTTCATGAACTCCACTGTGGGCTGAGCTCGGCTCCTCCTGAGTAAAATGTCCCCCAAGCTCTACTCTGGACATTCCTGCCGTTCTCCTCCCCCAGTCCAGACACTGCTAGCATCCTAAGCTAGGGGTGCCCCCCCTTGAAGTCAGTAGTATCCACTTTTCTCCAGAGGTGGAGGCCAGACCACAGCCACCAGAGTGATGTCCTTAGGAAAGATTCCACACGCCCTCACATTTACGACATCACGGATCACAGGCTCTGCCACAGACCTGGCTGGTCAGTAATAATAGAAATCCACGCACTGTGGCCCCTGACAGCATGAGACCAGAAATGCTGGACTGTCGATTCAAAGAAGGGGAAGGTGTGCAGAGCCGTCCCCAGCTCCTGGGGGTCCTTGGAGTCACGTCCACGTGCCGTGGAATGGCAGCAGAACCGTCCCTGACCAGCCTCCACCCGCGCTCCCATGTCTCTGGCACCGCCTGGCGCTGCATTCTTGCCACAGTGGTTGTCTCCCACTGAGCCCGGGCAGGTCAGGCCTCGGTCGTCCATGCTGTTCCTATTCCGGGACTGTTCTTCCTGCCCCTCTCCTCCTTCTGCCCTTTGGCAGCTCCCAGGATCTCACCCCTGGAAGCGCCCCTCTGTTAAGATGCAGGGGCGCCTGGGGGGCTTGGCGTGATTCCCATCTGCACAGCTGCTGGCTGGCAGGCCTCCCCCCGGGCTTTGCTCTCTCCACATCTGGAACGTGCAGCAACAGCTCTGGCCTCCCTGGCTGCCGGGAGGTGACAGGAGACAGTTGTGTGACAAATGAGACAATTGTGTGACAAGCTCACACCACGCCTGGCACATAGTAGGAGCTTAACTGGGTTAATTGTCTTTCCCCTCAGCTTTCTGTTTTGCTCTTCCTGAGGCAGCAGGTAAACTCTAAGAAAAAACAAAATCAGCAACAACGCACGCACACCAAGTAGGCGCAGCGAAAATCCCACTTACACGTGTGCCGTTTTCCTTTCTCCCTTGGCCTTTTAAAAAAACAGAGCTGTAACGCACCTACCATAAAAATCCAGCCTCTTAAAGTGGTTTTTAGTATATTCACAAAGTTGCGCGTTCATGGCTTTTTTTCTAACCCCAAATATTGTCATCATCCCTCAAAAGGAAGCCCATCCCCAGGGGCTGTCACTGTCCCCATCCCCGCTCCCTCCAGCCCCCAGCAGCCACCAGTCTGCCCTCCACCTCCCCCTAGTCTCTCGCTTGGAGTTCTCCACCAAACCCCAAGCTGGCGTTGGCCTGGCTGGCTCCTCCCAGCACGGTGGTGACATCAGAGGAGTTTTGTGGATATAAATCATTGTTCTACACAGAAAACGGAGTAGATCAAAGGTCTCCTGAAAATCAGGACCTGGGCATTGCCCTTCCGTGAGCCAGTTGGCCCGCTCCGTGCTTCAGGCGTCCCTGCCTGCTCCCGCCTCGAGCCATCCGGGACCTGGGAACTGACCGGGGTCTCTGGCCTCAAGGGCCTCCTTAGGGAGCCAGCCCTGGGACAACACCAGAGGGAAGTTCTGCCCCTGAGGGCTCTCAGAGCCCGACCCGAAGCCACCTGAGCCTCGGCCCAACGGCCCATTGTGTCAAGTCTTTTCAGGTCTGAACGTGCCTCCTTGCGCGCCTCCTTCGCTTTGTGAGGAAATAGAACATGTCAGGAATTTGGCGTTGAGCGTTTTGCTTTCTCCCCATCAGAACTGCCTCCCACTGGCATTCTTCTCTTGCAGAGGCACAGTGAGAGTTTCATTTGTAAACGGGGGTTAAAAAAAAAAAAAAAAAAAAAACAGCTCAAGAAGAAGGCTGCTCTGACGAGCATAGGAACAGCTCCTGCCGCATGTGGAGCAGGCCCTGCTTGCTTTCCCAGCCGCTGGACAGGGAAGACTCCCCTGCCTAAGGGGCCTGCTGTGCCCCAGCCCCACCACACTCACCTGCAGGAATCAGGGAAGCTCCAGCCGCTGTCCTTGTATGTCCTCTGACAGGACCAAGATGGGTCAGGTCTTGTGGGCCTGGGAGGCGTCTGGGGGCTGGCATCAATGAAAACAGTAGTTTCTTCTGTGCACCTGCTGTGTGCCAGGCCCCACAGCCCAAGCACTATCTGATCATACCCTCAGGACAGCCTGTAGAGTGGCTGGGACTGTCCCCGTCCCACAGGTGATGAGACAGAGATCCCAGGGGCCACGAGCATGGTTTCCAAGGCCGCACAAACAGGAAGGCTCACCATGATGCCCCAGAGGTCATAGCATCCACCAGCCCTGATATCCCGGAGTGGTCTTGGCCCCGCTGAGCCCCCCAGGTCACCATCTCACAGATGGCTCTGAGAACTGACCGACCTCGTGCATGGAGAATGTCATACACGGGGGGGCTGGTGCCAAACCTGTGTCCGTTCCCTTGCTCAGCCTCTTGGTGGGGATCACACACTGCAGGAGGGACTTCTGCTGATGGCTGACGCTGTTTGGCCCAGGGGCCCGCCCCAGTAGGATGACTGGAGGCCACATCCATTCACTGGCCTCCTCTTTCTCCCTTCAGGAGAGCACCTGGCCATACCTGTTTGGAGTGATTGCTGTCCCCGCCTTTGTGCAGCTGGTGAGCCTGCCCTTTCTCCCTGAGAGCCCGCGCTACCTGCTCTTTGAGAAGCATGACCAGGCAGGAGCCGAGAAAGGTAGGGGCCCATGGCCTTTCCCACACAGCTCCAGCCTCTTCATGGGGTCAGCGCTGCAGGGCACGCTGGGACCTAGGGTCATTCCTCTCTGCAGGTGCTGTGCCAGGTGCCCCTGGACACCCTGTATTGCTTTATCTTCCCAACAGCCTGCAGTGGGGACACAGATCACACAGAGAGCCTGGAAAAGCCAGGACAGAGCAGGATAAGACCCAGGTCTGCTCACTTCTAGGCGATGTCTCCCTATTGCTGCCTCTCGGGTAGTCCCAACCACAACACAGCACGAACCTAATATCTTAGCGGTTTAGGTCTATGTGGCTCTCTCCCTACATTCTCTCTTCTTCACTGACCGGTTCTGCTGTCCTAACACTCACAAGAAGGGGAAAAGTCCGGTGCAGAGTGACCCCAGCCATGTCCTGCCGGCACAGGGCTGGCTGCTATCCACCCTGGGAAGAGACAGAGCATGCCCAGTTTATGGGAGAGAAACACAATGCCCACAGTGCGGCTGGGGGACTGGTCTTAGGTCACTTTCCTTAAATCCCCTGAGTGGCGAGGTGCTGGGTCAGATGCAAAGCATTCAGAATCAGAGGCTTTCCTACAGGGCCCCGAAAAGTCATCCCATTTTGCCCGGAGATAGACAAAGTGGAATGAACAATGCATTCTTCTTGTACAAGGAGACAGCTGACAGTACCCGCGTTATGCAGGAGGGGCTGGGTGGACCAGTGCCGCCTTCACATGCCGCCTGACCTTATTCTGACCTTCCTGAGCATCAGGACCCTCATCCGTAGAAGGAAATTATAGAAACCTTCCTCTGGGCTTGTTATAATGATTAAATTAGATGATTCATATGAGGTTCATGGTAGCATTTGCTGTCATTATTCTGAGAACTCTGTCCATTTTCTTATCCAGATCCTATCCTCTGATCTAAATTTCACTAATGTCCACATCTGAGAAAAAAAAAATTGAGAATTATGTAGTCTTTAGTTTAATATAATTTGCGCAACGCTTTTTAAAATCCAAACAACCTAAGTATTTTCTGAATTAACAAATGGGATATTAATAATTGCCTCTATTTGCCTAGCAGTGTATGGTCGGGATCCATTTTCTCATTTACAACATTCCTGTAAAAACGTGGAATCAGAGAACATTCTCATTACTTCACTGTTTACACGAAAGAACTGAGGCGTACAGGGCTGAGGTGACCTAAGCATGGCTGTGGTTCTCGGTTTTTGGGTTCTGGAGGCCTTTAAAAATATGATGGGAGCTACAGGTGTTCTTCAGCAGACTGCCCATAGTCACGAAATTTTCAAGAGCATAGTAGTGGGGGTGGGACATGAGCCCTGTCCCCCTCCAGGGGGGACCCTGGTTAGCAGCGCTCACCCATCTGACAACCGCAAGCGACAAGACTGGAACCAGAGCAGAGTTCCCTCCCACCCTGCTCATGCACAAAGGGACATCAGTGGGTCGTGTTCCAGGGGACTTCTCATGGGGCCCGTGGGGAGGCAAACAATCCAGAAGTCAGGCTGCAGAGAAGGAGGCTGATTGTCAGATGGTGGAGGCTCTGGAGCAAAACTAACGTGAGGCTCTGAGTCCCAAAAGTAGCCAGGTTATGGATCGGCGGAAGGCGGCGAACCCTCTAGTTCCACCCCTCCTGCTTCATCGGCAAGAACTCTCGGGAAAGGCGTCAGTTAAGTACGGTTGGAATGGGCCGTGTGTGTAAATGCCTGACAGTGAAACAGGTTTATGTCACAGCACAGTAGGCAGTGAGGAAGAAATCCAGTTATAAAAAATGGTAAATATTACATGCGTGCTTTATACAGAGAACAAAGATGTCACTGGCCTTAGATTCAAAGAGAATCATGAAATTTGCATCTGTGCTAATAAAGAGTGGAGTTTCCCTCTAGACATTCAGCAAACAATGGATATTTACTGTGCTGGGCCCTGTGCCAGGTGATGGGGAGACAGGGGAGCACCAGACTGGCATTCCAGCCCCCCCAGGAGGTGGGGGGAAGGGGAAGAGAGATGGGTGTATTCATCTGGACTGAGAACTGTATCGTTCTAAGCACTTCACATGTATTAGACCATAAAGCCTCTCAACCATGGGAAGTAGATCACATTATTATTCCCGTTTTAAAACAAACAAGAACTGAGGAAGGGTTAACTTGACCAAAGACAAAGCTAGCAAGCGGTGGCACCAGGATTTGAACACTGACTCTCTTGCTCTGGGACCTCTGAGCATAACAAAACACATTCTATTACCTAGCACCTGCTTTGGCACTATGGCAGGTACGCTTTGTCTGGTCTGTGGGTAATTTGGCGGACAGGGGCCCTGCAGGAGACAACAATTGCCATAATAATGCAGCATATCAAACCAGCTTGATGCTCATTGGCTTAAGACAATAGCATTTATCGTCCCCAAGTCTATGGGCCAGCAGGGAACTTCTGTACCTCCTGATAGGGCTTGCCCTTGCAATGCTTCTTGTCTTAGCAGAAGTTCTCCGGCATGTCTGGTGGTCCGCTGGCTGGTCAAGGCTAGCCTCAACTCTGTTCCACGGGCTCATCCTCCAGCAGGCTAGCTCAGGCACATTCTCTTAGTGAGCACAGAGGTCCCAGAGAGGAAGTGGGAAACACAAGCAGTTTTTCAAGCTTCAAATCAGCTAAAATCCTGTTGGCCAAAGTAACGCACACAGCCAAGTGCACAGAGTGGGAGGGGGTGCACAGTTATAAAGCAAAGGACACACGTAGGAAGGTCATAAAATCAGGGCCATCGATGCAACCCATCCACACCACAGACACTCATGAACTGAGCTGAGTACCCACTCACGGGCTCCTGGACCGGCCTGCCCTGAAACACCGAGAACACAGAAAAAGAGTGTGGAAATAATAGAAACAAGGAGAACAGCAGGGGAAGAAGCAGGCATAGGTGGAGATCGCTGTTTTGTGAGAAAGCCGTGCTTTGTGCTGGGTGGGCTCTTGATAAGGAAGGATGTCTGATGTGCCCCGCAGCCTCCTACACACGACATGCATCCACCAGAAACGAAGCCACGTGCCTGAGGAGGAAGCCCTGGGGTGGCCAGCCCCTCCCAGGCCCGCTCTTACCTGGGGACTCTTGGCACACTGTGTCCCCCCGGGAGATGACGGGAGGGGGGGGAGGGGCAGCTCTAGTGCCAATCAGAAAGGTGGCATCATCTCCCGAACCTGGCAGAGGGACTTGGCAGAAGGAGGAGGAAACACAGTCCCTCCGAGGTCCTGTCCCTGCCTCTGCCAACACAGTCACCTGCTCCTCCTCCCTCGGTGCTCTGTCTTCATGTTTATGGGGTGAGTGACCTCTGAGCGCCACCACCCCCCACCCGGTATCCCTGGAGTAATTGTCTCTCAGGCTCCCTTTGCCCTGGCTGGGGAGCCTGCTCGTGGGCTGGCTGCCAAGCAGAGGGCCAGGTGCCTTCCTACAAAATACCCAAGGGTCAAAAGGGGCAGGAAGACAGCTCAGAACCCACCCTGAGTTCCCAGAGCATGAAGGCACATCTTGAAATCGCTCATACACTTCATTCCAGAGAGCAGAACAGACTCCCTTTAAATTGAAAGAATTGTCCAAGGTTCCAGCCAAGCAGGGGATGCTTTCTGTATTGTGTCTGGGGTTGGGGCCGATCTTGTGCAGCCCTGAGTTGGCTGGGGGTGTCCGTGCCCCGAGAGCTGGAGGAATTGCCTAGAACCCTAGTCTGCCAGCACAGGGAAGGTCCAAGCCCTCTTCAGAGTGTCTTGGAAATCCTGAGCATTTCTGGGCTCCGAACTGTCGTGGGCACCAGCCTTCTTGCATGCTGCTCTGTCTCACATCATAAACACCCCAACTTGAACTTCAGCCCCTGCTTTGGTTTCCTCAAACACCATAGCAGCAAGCACGCACCCCACATCACCAGAGCATTTCAAGGCGATACTGAAGATTTTGGGAAGGGCTCCAGGCACGGGATCCCTATCACTCGGCACCTACTTCTTTCCCCTCTCCCCACTGCCCGTTGTCCCCTCTGCCTTCCAGGTGGCTCTGGAGCTCGTCTTCCTCTCCTGCTAGCATGCCTTCCCTTCTGGAGCCGGAATCAGACAACATGGAGATTTCAGCAAACACCTTCCACTCCAGGAGTTTGTCAAAATACTTTTCTCAGCCAAATCACTTCCATCCTTCAGAGACACTCTGGCGTCAGCCATTAAGTTTACGTGCTTTTCTCTCTTTTGTGTACCTGGTAGCCTCGCTGCTGATGTTCTGACGCTCCCTGGCTCTCTGGAAGGCACACGTGTGTCTTAGTGCCGCGCTGCGGGCCCCGCGTAGTTGCAGAGGCAGCCGGGCTGGGTGCCGCCCCTGCTTCCCTGCACGGTAGCTGTGAGCCCAGGCGAGTTGCCCATTGTCTCAGACATGGACTCAGTTTTCCCACCCTGTGAAATGGGAGGAACACAGTGCTTATCTCCAGGGCCCAGAAGGATGCTCAGATGAGACCATGGATGTGTGGCAACATCCAGTGCACGGATTATAATCATGTGGCTGAAATCAGCCCATCAGCAAACATTCGTGGTAGACCAAGTAGGTCCTGGTTGAGAGGGTGAAGGAAACAAGCTCCCGTAGAGGCCACGAGCACCCTGGGCCCAGCCACAGCCTCGGGTCCCACAGATCTCTTGGGCATCTCAAAGATCCTTCCATGGCATTCTGTAACACTGGCCCTGCCTCAGAGGGCCATGGGGAGGACCCGGAGATGCTGCCTGGTTGGAAATATCTGTCTTCCTTTTGGTCCAGCTCATTCCCATGGAAAGCTCAGTGCTTCTCCATGGAGCTCAGACCTCGGTGTGTGAGTCACTGACTGTGTCCCTCTGGGTTCTCTGAGAAGTGGAGACTAAGTGGCCTAAGCAGCGAGGATTTTATCAGAGTTGTTGCCTGTGTAAATGTGGAGGGAGCTGACAGACCGTGATGCTCGACGGACCCCCAGTGGGCAAGGGAGGAATGGGGCCAGCAGCATCAG